CATTTGGAATCCTTACTAGACTATCTTGAGAGTGAAGAGGACAGTTTATTAAGTGACAAGCTAATATTACGTAGGCTTCGTACGGATATCCGTAAAAAGGAAAATGCCGCGAAAAAGCAAAAGACAGTATTAAATTATTTTAAGTGTTAAGTGTGACCGTAAAAAGTGCTGGATGTTGTTGAACAGTGATTGAAATAACTAATTCATACTGAGTGTAATGTAAAGAAAGTATTAAATAGGCCATGAGATGACATAGAAATGAGGATGAATAAATTTAAATACAGGTAGGTCTATAGTATTATGAAGGTATTAAAAGGTAAAAGGTAAAGTTGTTCCTCTGCTCAACGAATTAAGCCCTACGCCATTAAGGCGTGTGGGGGAGTGGATGTATAGATCCAAATTTTCTTGACCTCGGCACTAGTTGGAGGTGAGTGGTCAGCTTCACGCCCCGGCCGCTTTACCCCCGGGGAAAGAGCCCCCGGTACCCATTGGATAGGAGGTTGGATGGACCCCAGAGCCGGTCTGGACGATTTGGAGAAGTTAAAATTCTTGACCCTACCGGGACTCGAACTCCGACCCTTCACAGTCGTCCAGCCCGTATAATAAAATTTGGCTTAACCGGGTTTTCGATTAACCGTGACTTCCATCCCCACCATTAGCCCGGATAATCGAGAGTTGACTGTATTCCCATAAAAAATCCTCATTTCTTGTATTTGGTATCTTCGACGTCTTCTAGGGGGAATAGTTTGCAACACTACACTGGCTATTCCCTGATCCTCAGCTGAGATTATTGTTGCATCCTCCTTCCATGTTAGACTAATCGGCATTCCAATTTGTATTTCCTGCAGCTGCATTTCAGTTTTTTCCATTAGTAGCATTACTAGCTTGTCTTTACCTGAATTTCTTATTATATAGTCCATGATGTGTGAAATCTTCTCTTTCTAGGTCTATGGGCATCATAGTCGTATGCCTATATTTGTTGGTAATGTCATTCAACTTTTTATTAAAAACTTTAACCTCATCATTAAGTATTGATGTTTCCATCAAATCATGCCTATGGGGGCCACCCATAATTATGATATTGGTGTGTCATGCAAACAGCAGAAGGTGCAAAGTGCAGTAGTGTTTGTGTGCTCTGTACAAGGAAGGCATAACAAACTCTTTTACTGTAATAACTTTGAAGAAATATTTAATATGAATGTGATAACTTAAAACTGTGAATTATATTTTAAGATTAGCAACAAGAGTGGAAAGACTATTTGAAGATATGAGCTGAAAATAATGACTGAAAAAATGTAGATCATAAAAATTGTATACTGCTAATTTAAGGGCTTAGAATCGCTGAAGTATCAGAAATCATAGCATACAATCATGATTTTTAGAGAAAACTTAGTACTGTAATATCAGAAATAATGATATAAGACTCTGAAAATTAGAAGCAGCTAATTTAAAAACTACAGTATTAGTGATTAAGAACTGTCATATTATTGATATATAATTGTTGCTTACTGAATGCACCATCAATTTGATTTAGACCTCAAAACATAGTAGGGGTTAAAGGGTTCATTCATTCATTCATTCATTCATTCATTTCGTGTCCATGGATCATATACATGATATAAGACATGTCATTCTTGTGTAGTTATAGTATAATAAGTTTCATGATGGGGGGGGGGGCTGCATGTGAAGCATGCAGTGCAACGTGGAATTTGGGTACCAATTCAGCATTTGCTCTGGGACCAAGGGAAACCACGGAAAACCTTGATCGAATTGGCCGGTCACAAGACCTCCCAGATACACTGGTTTCTAGCAGCACCACTCCCACCGCCTCGGCTAAATATCCCATAGTCCCTGCTGTGTTTTCTCCAGCACATGGCATCCAGTTTCCTGCAAGAAGAGAGTTACGCAGTATACACTCCTAGTGTGTGTTAAGCTAAGCTCAATTGTTCTTACTTTTAAATTATTATATGATCCTAATGTGAACTAAGTCTTGTCCACATAGGAGAGGAACTCATCTATGCTATAAAAGCAATGTTTTAATAGAAATGTTTTCAAAGTAATTTTAAATTTACATAATGCTGGTATCTCTTTAATGTATTGCGGTAGGTGG